ACATAATTGGCAAACATAGAAGTTTTGTATAGACAGCAAACACATTAATTAAACAACACATTATTTATTCAGCAAATATACATTTCATTAGCGCATGAAAAGCTATGTACTCACAAATAATTAAAAGCAAGTTCGTATAGCATCTAATTCACTAAGACTCAAGTATGCGTGACAACAGATCTACTATTTTAACTTCCAGTCACGCTTTCAAATGGAGAAAAATTAGTCAATCTATGGTCAAATGTCCGGTGGTTCGTTATCATGTAGCAGGTCCTATGTAGAACGTCGCTCTCATCACGATCTGCCTGAAAGAAACTCGATCTCTCGCCAGCTCTCCCGCCTCGTGCCCTCTTCTACCCAAGGTGTCACTTACATCATGTGTCCATCTTCAAGCTGGTCGGCCCCTGCACATATTTCCTGGTACCAGGGCTTTTGCTAATTGTCTTTTCAATCTCCCATGGCGCGTGATTTGGCTATCGTATGCTGCTGTGCTACTCTGAAAGCACAGTATCTATTTCATTACAAGTCACAGATCTACTTTATTAGAATGTTTTAGACAAGTATAAATCAGTTCGCAGTGTTTTCTCCCAATACCTCATATATACATCATCATTGTCAATCAATCGCGGCGTTCGTGGCTTAAGCGTTGCTAGTCCGACTCGTAATTCCAACGTAGCGCGATCGAAACCCACTGCTGGCTGCGTGGATTTTATCATGGTTTGTGACGTCGCAGGTCGACCCAGCCTAAAATAAGTATCAGGATGGCTGTCCTGTGGAAGTAAAGACGGCCGGTGTAATGCTGACTACATTACCCACCGAGTGCCGATTGGATTGTAAAAATTTGGGTGCTCTTCCTTTATGCCCGATACGCCTAAAGGCGAGAACGGGATCTTTACTACTTACTATCGTCAATCAGGACTTCTACTAATGTTCTATATGTCATCCCCATGTGGGATGCAATTTTTTGTTTGAAGCTCCACCCTGGCTTCTGCCGGAAGTCCTGAATATAGCCGCGGCATAAATATGGCCTAACGGCTGAAAGGGGTTTCTGGGACGTCTCCACGGGTGATCCTTATCCACATGGTGACACTTTGTGTCCCCGGGTGTTTATCGCTTGTGTGATGTCCTGGTGGGGTACAACTGCCTCCTAACTACCAGCACTTTTGTAAAAAAGTGACGCTCTAGTCCCGGCATGGATGAGCGTCTTTCTTTATCAAACACATCCTCCAGCCCAATGTGCTTTCATAGTCAATGCATCTTCAATGTCTTGTGTCCACCACCGCGGAGTTCGCCACCTGCCTCGTATTCCGGAAACTGATCCCGCCGTCACATGTCTCTTCAGGCCACCATGTCATAACGATTGTTTTTACACATTAGCTTTCGGGCAGGATGCTGTTTACAAGCCAAGTATACATCACAAACCTGTCTGCATTTCATGTGTTTATCATAAATTAAGTGTTAACTTCTCCCAAACCGTGATCAGTTAAAAGTTAGTTTGGTATCCCTAACAGGACGTTGCAGAACCAACCCCAGCATATTTGGACTGTTGTGGTTTTTCTAGATTAATTTACGTCCAGTAATTTGCCATTGCTTTCTGGACAGTCACTCTCGATACCTTGCTTGCTGCTAGCACAACATACCAGCGATAAACACCCGGTGACACAAAGTGCCACTATGTGGATGAGGATCACCCATAGCGAGGTCCCAGAAACCCCTTCGAGCAGTTATGGCCAAATTTATTCGGCTATATTCAGGGCCCCCGGCAAAAGTCAGGGTGGGGCTTCAATTAACGAAAAATTGCCTCCAGCAGGGGGACGACAGATTACAAAAACTCAGCATTCGGGCAGGATGCTGACTGACTGACTGACTTTCTACCCCACCAGGACATCACACAAGCGATAAACACCCGATGACACAAAGTGCCACCATGCGGATGAGGATCGCCGTGGAGAGGTCCCAGAAACCGCGTTCAGACATTTGGCCATATGTATGGCCTGCCTATATTGCGGCCCCTGGCAAAAGCCAAATGACAAAAAATTTCGTCCTAAAAAGGACGAAATTGGATATTATATAAGCAGGATGCTGTATACGAGCCAAGTATCTATAATGTATATCACAAACCTTTCTGCATTTCATGTGTTTATTATAAATTAACTGGTAACCTCCCAAACCATGATGAGTACACGGGTTAAATTTGCATCTGCAATTATGAATAATGTTTAATTTAACAGTCACTTTGGCGACTCAGGTTACTGTACATTTCTTTATTTATTGCGACTTTTGAAGGAGTTATATAACTTTGAATATTTTTTCGATTTTACTTCCCTTGAAAAAGTAATTTATAAATTATATTTTGCTGTTGTCTTCCTTGAAGCAACATATCTATATGTGTCTGAGACAGTAAATGTGTTTGTCTTCCAAACTATTAAACAGTGGGGTTATATTACATGGGAAACCTCGGGTGCACTTAGGGACATTGTCTAAAGATACGACAGCGATGGAGACAGATGCCGTCGAAGACGAGATATAAAATGTATTCTTTTTGCTAGACCCCAGTTTCCACTAGGCCTACATAAAGGGCAGCGATGGATACCAAGATGAGGTAGAGGATGGGAGAATAAGACTTTATTTCACTATCGAATGCGAAGCCGGGCAATAAAATCTAGTAGCCATAACAATTATTCTTTACCGTTGAGTAAACGCGTACTAGGAGCCGCTGTAACTTAGGACTCGAACCCATCATTCCCTTCCCCCTCATCCCCTCCCAAAAGGTCTTTGTCGGTTTAGCCTAACTAGGTACCAGGTGTTGTCTGACTGACTGACTTTCTACCCTACCAGGACATCACACAAGCGATAAACACCCGATGACACAAAGTGCCACCATGTGGGTTAGGATCACCGTGGAGAGGTCCCAGAAACCGCGTTAAGATTTTTGGCCATATTTATGGCTAGGCTATATTACGGCCCCTGTCAAAAGCCAGAGTAGGGCTTCAAAAAACGAAAAATGTCATCCTAAAAAGGACGAGAAGTAGTAATACCCGGTATTGTCCTGGGAAGCAAAGGCGGTCTGGGTAATGTTGGCCGGTACTGAGTGTTCAATAAATATGAATGTGGCATCAAGAAAACACTGCCTGTTAACATTTAGGTCCATTGTGCTAGGGCTGGATTTAGTTCACCAAACGAGGCATAGTGTCCGCCTCGAGTGCTGGAGGTTCCGGGTTCAATTTTTGGTAGGGCTCGGATTTTTTCCCGTGGAATTGGACTTCTAGTAATTCCCCCTGGTCTCCTTTGGCAGCTGGAAATCGAAAAGAGAACCCTAACGACGCTGCCTTGGCAAAATTTAGAGTTTAAAATCTACCAAAAGTATTTCAGGATTCTCGCCGGTGCTACGGAGTATGTGCACTGTGATGACCGTCTTCGGACTCAGACTTGAGTTAGAAGAAGAGCGGAGTACTTATGGTTTACTACCCGTGTGCCATGATATTGATCCGATGTTCAAACTTCAAACTTTAATATCACTCAAAGGATAAATAAATTAGAATTAAGCCAGTTCCTTTATAACTACGTCCAATTTGTTGTCTAATTCAGTCTTTGAAGACACTATCCTAACTATTCTTACTTTAGTGATAACAATTAAAAAATTCTCGTATGTAACTATCAAAACTATAACCATATTACACGTCTTTCATGGGCATATTCAGTTTGGCTTATTAAAACATTTTCAACAGCCTGTTTCTTCATACCGTGGATTTTCAGATTTTGGGCGAAAACCCAGAGCAATCATCCTCCTGGGGTAGCATGATCTGCCAAGGTAGTATTTGGATTGTTTAGGACGGTAACGGGCCGACACAATCGTCGACGGAGGATCTATTACTGATGACCGGTACACTCCTGCTGTGAATGCTCCCTTGTGGAGTTTTCTTATTATATTATTGGTGTGCATTTGGTGGGCTGTGTTCAACTCCTTCAGAAGTGTTTCTTGTATCTTAAGTCAGCGCCTTGGAGTAGAAGTTTTCTTGTCACTCTTACTTTCAGTGATGTTCAGATGAGAACGCCACAAATCTTTATGAAGTCTGTAGTGAGACGCAAGTCTTCTGCGGTTCCATGAAGCTTGGCTTCCATTGAAATGCCAGCCGGCCAAAGCTGTGATTTCTCTAATGTAGGGCTATTCAACTATGTTTACTAGGGGGCCAAAATTGTGAAAATGGGGTTCGTCACGGGTCAGAAGACCAAACTCCAGCCTTGAAAGATCGGTAATTCGGTATAGTTGACAGTGATCCCCGGGCCACTTGCTAGGTCTTCGCGGGCCAGATGTGTTGAATAGCCCTGCTCTACTGCATGCAGAAAGCATGTCTGCAGCCTATTGTTGTGTGGTGGTTGTCCACACGGGCAAAGTTCTGAAACTCCAGTTTGAATTTCTTGTACATGTGGCTGCAAAGTCGAGTGTGTCCAGTATGCAATCTAAATTTGATACGAGAATCTGAAAGACGTAATTTGGGTTTTTGAATGTCTCGAGTTGAGTGTCGACAAAACGAGAATCAGTTACAGCACTGTAACTCATTCTGTCTCCTGGACCTTTTTTTACTCTTCGAGTGTCGACGGAGAAAAACAAAACATTTTGCTTCTTGCTTTATTAGACGCCTCGATCGCAGACCAATCGTGTTGTTTCTCTGATATTATCTTTCCACTTTGTTCATGGTCTAACTCGTTCTCTACGCCCTTCTTTTCTTTTGACATTTGCCTTGTATAGGAGTGACCCACAAAGTATTCTCTTTCATTGGACAAACGATTGTATTTGCTCTGTGTGTGTGGAATTTACAATTGGTTCTGTGCCGACTTGTTCTCTTGTAACTTTATTCCCAATTTTACCTCTTCTGCTTACTCCTGCAGCCTTTCTCAGACATCCCATTTCAATGTCTTTTTTCTCCTAGATTGTTGTAAGTGGTCATTTCTTGCACCGGTAGCACAAGGTGGGGATGTCTCTTGAATGGAAAAAAAGTCTAACTGGATTCATCGCTACTCTTCACTGTTGTGTGGTTGTACAGACCCTGTTCCATCAGCTGCAAAGCCAATGGGTTTCTAACTCCCACCGATTTCTTGATTTTGGCCCGTTTGTTCTGAAACCAGATCTTGATTTGGGACTCCGTCAGGCCTAGCTCATCGGCCAGGTGTTTGCGTCGTGTCTCCGTCAAGTACCTGTGCGGATAGAAAAATTTTCATTTTAATCTTTTACGTTTTATGAACACATTTTTTTTTTTTTACATTTATTAAACCACGACACTTAGAGATAAATCAGTAAAGTAAACATTTATTTTCATGCTTTTTTTTTTTTTTTCGCGTATTTGGTGTTTAGGAAGAGCTCCCATATTTTTACAGACTATCGACATCGGCGAGGAATGTGATCATTATTACGCCGGCCGTCTTTACTTCTCCAGGACATCCAACCTGGTACCCATTTTAGGCTGGGTCGACCTGCGACGCCCTATACCACGATAAAAATCCCCGAAGCCAGCAGTGGGTTACGATCACGGTACGTTGGAATTACGAGTCGGACTCGCAAAGCTTAAGCTACGAACGCCGCTCGAGATAAATAAGCATATTGTTAAATTAAGCGCATTGTGTAAACAAAGAGACAATGTGGTAATTACCCACAAAAAGATAATAAGATGGCCCTTTTTCATCTCCTATTTTTCTCTTTTTATATTTTCTTTTTTTATTATCGACAGTATTTTCCTACTTTGACGCCTGCTCCTCCTTCTCTTCATCTTTTCCCTAATCCGTAACCACTTAATTCTTCTTTTTGTCCTGCTCCGCCTCTTCTTTTTCCTCCTCCTCTTCTTCTTCTTCTTCTTATTATTATTATTATTATTATTATTCAACCAGTTTTGTCCTCGTATGCACTTCGCCCGCCCCTCTACGCCCCCCCCCCTCCCCCCTTTCCTGTTGTGACTTTCACGTCCAATGCTGCAAACAATGCCAAAGTAAGAAACATGCTTGACTCACATGCGCTTCCATGGAGTGGCGTTTGGGTTGAGTACCATCAACCTCGTTCAAGAAATGACCGCATAAAAAAAAAAAAAACTACTTAAGTTTTAAAAGGTACAATTACCCGCTCTACAACCCCCCCCCCCCCTTTCCCTTTCCTCCCACCCCCTCATCTGCTATACTTGATAAGCTTATGTTTCTTCTTCTTTCGTTCGCTTGAAATATATTATCTATATCTGCAAATTTGTCTCTAGTATGAACTTCACTGTCTTTTGTAATCCACTCAGCGACCCGTAAAGTGTTTGCACCGATGTTTCTCTTGTCGCTTCATAATCATCTCTCCAGCTTTTTACTTTCATTGATCGGGTTTGGTTTTCAGCTTTCTCGCTCTTCTATGTAAGCGATACCTTCTTCATTGCTGTTGAAAAAAAAAATACTTTTCAGATCGGTCCAAATAAGTATTATATAGTTCATTTGTGTGTTTTGTTGGCTGTTTTGATGATCAAGCTAATTGCCGCAATGTCTTCTGTTTGTTTATTGTACATGATTTTATAAGACTTACAATTACTTTATGTTTTTCTTACCATTCGCTGTCCTTTCTCTCCTCTATCTTTTGCAGTCTTTCTATTTACATATATTTTTTTACCATCAACTTTATATAAACTAGTTGCTATCTTTGTGTTATCTGTGGGTTTAATCAAGACAACATGATTTTAACAACGACCATAAGATATTATCATCATTCAAATTCGTATTCAACAAGTTATTGTGAGGGCCCTTTGGGAGCGAGTGAACAGTGCGGAGGCGCAGATAGATCATTACGGTCTGAGGAGAATGTCGCTGCAAGGAGTTACCAGGGGATCTGGCTGACGCTCAACACCCAGGGGAAGAATGAGACGGATATACAATCACACGGTTACTGGTACCATCGAAATTGGAACTCTTCGCTTGCTGCTGAAGATAGGAACTGAGCACTTATAGGAGTATCCCGAGTGCTGTGATGTCTATTCTTAATTCAACATTTGTACCCAGTATCTTCATAAAACTATTCTTCTTCTTCTCTGCGTTCACCAGCTGTAAACTCTGGTGACAAGTTTTGATTGTTCGTCCACTTCTGGACTGCAGTACAACAACTATTTAAGACGTACACACTTCTTCACGATCTTCTTCGCTTCCGTTTCCGTAGGAAAGTCCTGGTTGTTCGTCCACTTCTGAGCTTTGGTGTTGTTCCAGAACTTGAAGCTTGCGTGCACAGAAGTTTAACGGATATGGCTTATTTGGGTGCAGACTGTTGTTTCTTCACCTCCTTGGCTTTGAAAGATACTATAGTCACATCGTTTTCAACGCTTTTGGTCGGCAACCTGCTTCCAGAATGTCCACGGAGAGATGTAGGTAGGACTGTCTCCGCTTAGCTCCTTATCTGCCACCGTGTGTGCCTTAGCACCTTGGCATCCTAAACTTCACACAGAAACAATCACACTTATACACTCACCGGCAGTCTTCATACAACAAAAACTGATGTTGTACACTCGCCGGCAGTCTTCATACAACAAAAACTGATGTTGTACACTCACCAGCAGTCTTCATACAACAAAAACTGATGTTGTACACTCACCAGCAGTCTTCATACAACAAAAACTGATGTTGTACACTCACCGGCAGTCTTCATACAACAAAAACTGATGTTGTACACTCATCGGCAATCTTCATACAACAAAAACTTATGTTGTCCACTCATCGGCAGTCTTCATGCAACAAAAACTGATGTTGTACACTCATCGGCAGTCTTCATGCAACAAAAACTGATGTTGTACACTCACCGGCAGTCTTCATACAACAAAAACTGATGTTGTACACTCACCGGCAGTCTTCATACAACAAAAACTGATGTTGTACACTCACCGGTAGTCTTCATACAACAAAAACTGATGTTGTACACTCACCGGCAGTCTTCATACAACAAAAACTGATGTTGTACACTCACAAACAGTCTTCATACAACAATAACTAATGTTGTAAACCCACGGGCAATCTTCATACAACAAAAACTAATGTTGCACACCAACAGGCAGTCTTCATACAACAAAAACTAATGTTGTACACTAACAATCTTCATACAACAAAAACTAATGTTGCACACCAACAGGCAGTCTTCATACAACAAAAACTAATGTTGTACACTAACAATCTTCATACAACAAAAACTAATGTTGTACACTAACAATCTTCATACAACAAAAACTAATGTTGTACACTAACAATCTTCATACAACAAAAACTAATGTTGTATACTCACAATCTTCATACAACAAAAACTAATGTTGTACACTAACAATCTTCATACAACAAAAACTAATGTTGTACACTAACAATCTTCATACAACAAAAACTAATGTTGTACACTAACAATCTTCATACAACAAAAACTAATGTTGTATACTCACAATCTTCATACAACAAAAACTAATGTTGTACACTAACAATCTTCATACAACAAAAACTAATGTTGTATACTCACAATCTTCATACAACAAAAACTAATGTTGTACACTTACAATCTTCATACAACAAAAACTAATGTTGTACACTCACCGGCAGTCTTCGAATTCTCGTTTCAGTCTGGCCAGCTGGTCATTGGTAAAGGCAGTTCGGGGCCTTTTTTCGTCCTGGGTTCGACTCCGTTTGGGTTTCCGCGACCTGGGGCCTGTGAGCAAAGTAAAAACACAGTTTATAATATACTGCTTTTCGTGTAGTCTGTTTATCGCTGTTGAGACTTCAATGCAAACGGGCCACTCGGTGATTTCTGTAAAAAGGACCCTCTTCTACGCCTTTGGGCATATTGGGTACATAGGGCTAAACTGAATTATATAGCCCAGTCGGCACTTGGTGGGTGATGTGGTCAGCATCACTTCGACGGCCTTTACTTCTTAGGACTGCACCTGGTACCCACTCAAGGCTGGGTCGACATGAGAGTCAAAGTCATTTTTTTTAACCCGTCTCTGTCAGGGCACGAACCCACGACCTTCTGATCCGTAGGCGGGCATCTAGCCGCCAATGCCACGGCGACTCCCAGGTGCTTCCTGTACCAACCAGGAAAACACACACATAAAGAGAGAGAGAGAGAGAGAGAGAGAGAGAGAGAGAGAGAGAGAGAGAGAAAGAAAGAGAGAGAGAGAGAGAGAGAGAGAGAGAGAGAGAGAGAGAGAGAGAGAGAGAGAGAGAGAGAGAGAGAGAGAGAGAGAGAGTTTGTGTTCAACACTGGAAAAATTTATAGTCTGTTCTCGTGAGTTGTTCATTAAGGTGTCTCCTGCCATGACCTCGAAGAGGACATATATATCCTTCCCGAAGCTTTACTCCCAAGTCACGCAATCGTGTCAGCGTCAGAGGTTCATTATTAACCCTCAGCCCGTTTTTCAGAAGCATGTCGTGAAAGACAACTAATTAACGGTGCTTCCTTCGAAATCGTGGTGCATTTATCTGAGAGGCTAGGAACCAACCGTCTACATACAAATAAGCCAGTTATGTCAAACGGATCGGCACACAAAAGTTCTGGAGCAAGACTAAAATTCAGACATGGATGAACAACCAGAACTTTCCACTGAAGTTTATAGCCGGTGAAAGCTAAGAAAAAGAAGTAAATCATTCAAAAATATCAAACCCAACGAAGAGTTGGACCATTAAGTTTCACACTGTCACAAGCACAACTGAAAAGTGAATGTTTTCGCTAGAAAGCCTTCATCGGCAAAATTCACGAATATACAGTACCACAAATACACAAAATAAAAAATAAAAATTAACAAGATTCAAAAGAAGAGCAAGGAACCACAACTCTGAATAAAGAGAAGTAAGATCTGTAAAACACCGAACTTTTCGCCGCAGTCTACAACCGGCGAACGTGTAGAACAACAATCCCAACGTTCCGCCCCGCGTGTGGATTCCAGGATCCTGTTGTAGAGAAAACAAGAATAGATCTAAAGAGTCCTCAACAAGCATGTCGTAGAAGTCGACTAATCGGGGGCTTCGTTCATAGTCGGAATGCATTTCTCCGAGCAGCAAGGGACAAACAACAGCACAAAAACCAGCCAGTAAAACGGATGTACGCGCAAAACTCAAGGCCTAGCACAAAGTTAAAGTCCGAAATGATAATCGGGAATTTCCGCCAGAGCTTTCAACCGGACAATGCGAAGAAGAAAAGAATAGGATTACTGATT